CCCCAGGATCCTTTTACATCAGCAGGCAGGAGTGGGAGGGATAGAAGGGAAGCCCAGGGTCAGCAATGCAGGAATCCTATTCTCATCGTGAATGACCAATACTTTCTTATGCATGGTGCTATACAAACATACACAAGTACAGTGGTACCTCGGATTAAGTACTTAATTCATTCTGGAGGTCCGTTCTTAACCTGAAACTGTTCATAACCTGAAGCAAAGTTCTTAACCCGAGGTACTATTTCTGGGTTAGCGGAGGCTGTAACCTGAAGCGTATGTAACCCGAGGTACCACTGTATATCATTTCCCCTTGCAGAAATGCTTAATTGTTAATTCAAGCTACTACAGGAATGGCGTTCTTGAGCCTTTTTAGTACTGCTATGCCATTTTTTAAAAAATGTTGATCTTTAAGTCATGGCAATGTGTGAGCAAATACTCCACATCTGCCAAGCTCTCCAGAGCAGGACTAAGGGGTGAAATGAAGCCCCCCAGACCCCGAAAGGTTGAGGGAAAGGGTCTATCTCCCTTCTTCCTTCCCATTAACAGTTATTTCTACCTAAGAAATGGGAAGAAAGCAGTTGCTCATGCTAAGCGCAGGGTTTGTTGGGGTTGAGATTAATGAGCTGACTGTGGTGTGATTTGTCAGCAATAAATATGATTTGTTCTTATCTGTAAGTGAAGTCACATTTGAAACAATACAGAAGCGGTCAAAGGGAATTTCCTGGGAAGTGTTTTATTCAGTCTCACCTGCAATCATGTGTGCTGAATACAAAGAAACCCATAGATAATGTGAAATCACTGGGAGTTACAGTCTGCAAATAACATAAAACACATGCAAGATCTGTAGAATAGTACACATGATTTCCCCACCTCCTTTTTTTTATTTATTGCTTTTATTTTTGTAGGAATGATCGCTGAGTGTGGGGCACACTCCCCTCCACAGATAAAGCCACAGCTGTCTGAACATCTTGCCCTCTGTCTAACCTTTGCGGTCTCAGTGGTCTGCAGTGTCCTGTCTGTAACCTTTGTCTCTGAGACCTTTGTCTCCTTTGTCATACATTGTGCAAGGGGAAAAGGACGCAGTGGAAACAGGTGCCAAAATAGCTTTGTACCACCCCACGATCTCGGGACTGGAAGATGTGTAAAGGTCACAGCCCAAAATGTATCTGCCTGGGTTTGCATATTGTGTCAATAAAAGGAGCCTCCACAGAGCTGGCCGGCAGCTTGCTTGCAGCTCACATGTGCACAGCTCACCTGCATTATCAGCTCCTGCCTCATGTCCTTCACTTCAATTTTCATGATGTAAAAGATAATTTTAAAGAAAGCAAAGGTTACAACAGTAAACAACAAATAACTTGTCTGATGGAATTGCAGACTTTCATCCTGCCATGTGTTAAAGTTTCATTTGATTATTTTAAAAAAGATCAGGCCACCTTTTCCCATGAGTGCTGGGTGGATTCCTGCAACAGTCTTCACAATTTATGTATTCAATAACCATTGGCCATGTGTTATAAAAGGAATATGGATTGTGTTACACCTTCTTGATACTTAAAATTGTGGTGCCCAGAACTGAACACAGTATTCTACGTTGGGCCAGACCAAGGCAGAATAAAGTGGTACTATTCATGTCCTATTAGTGGACATGAATATAGTGGTACTATTCACCCGAAATTAAAAGACGCCTGCTTCTTGGGAGAAAGGCGATGGCAAACCTAGACAGCATCTTAAAAAGCAGAGACATCACCTTGCCAACAAAGGTCCGTATAGTTAAAGCCATGATTTTCCCAGTCCTGATGTATGGAAGCGAGAGCTGGACCATAAAGAAGGCTAATCGCCGAAGAATGGATGCTTTTGAATTATGGTGCTGGAGGAGACTCTTGAGAGTCCCATGGACTGCAAGAAGATCAACCCTCAAGAGAGAATATAATGAAAATGATTTACAGGTGGTACTTGACACCAGTCAAGCTTGCAAAAATTTATCACTTGCCCGATAATAAATGTTGGAGATGTAAAGAGATTGAAGGTACATTCTTTCACCTTTGGTGGACAAGTGCCCAAAGATTAAGACCTTCTGGGAGATGATCTATAATGAAATGAAAAAGGTATTTAAATATACCTTCCAGAAGAAACCAGAGGCCTTTCTCTTGGGCATGGTTGGCCAATTGGTGTGAAAGGATGATAGAATTTTTTTTATGTACGCCACAACAGCAGCAAGAATACTCATTGCAAAGTATTGGAAAACACAAGATCTACCCACCCGGGAAGAATGGCAGATGAAGGTGATGGAATACATGGAACTGGCTGAGATGACTGGCAGAATCCGGGACCAAGGAGAAGAGTCGGTGGAAGAAGATTGGAAAAAATTTAAAGTTTATCTTCAAAAATATTGCAAAATTAAGGATTGTTAGAAAGATGTTGGGAAAAGAAAATTATGTGGTTTTAGCAGAAATGACATAAAGGATTAAGTAAAAATGAATTGGTGAAAGAGAGAATGTAAAATTATAGTATATTAAGACAAATTATTAAGAAAAAAACAAGGTTGGAAGGATTTGCTGAAATAACAAATTGAATTAGAATACAAAAATGGGAGGTGTGAGGAGGTCAAGGAAATAAGCAAAGGAAAGAAAGCTATTGTCAGAGTCGCTTCCAGATCCTAGCTCACAGAGGATCACGCTAGCCAGCTGTCACTTGTAAAAGTCTTTTATTGAGTTACAGTTTCCATTCTCAAGCTGCTGCGCGCAACTCTACGTCTTAAGGGCTAGACCGGCGAAGCTCCGTCTGAATCTCCGCCCCCTGTACACCAACTTAATACCCTAGCCTTACTCCACCTTTTCCGCCTGACTGTTCTTCCTCTGGGTCCCTCTGCCCCCCGGGGTCTCTTCCTTCCGGGACTCTTCTGACGCTGACCCCCCGGACCCTTCTGTCTCCTTGCGCCGGGCTTTAGGACCTGGCTCCCTTTCCGGGCTGCTCACTGCGTCACCTTCCTGTGCATTTGAACTTGGCGCGCGCGCCCAACCTTCCACTTTCCGTCTGACCGTTTCTTCGCTCCCCGATGGAGGTGTGGCCACTCCTGACTCGTGCCCTCCCCCCTGTTGTGAGCTGCCAGCGCTTGCTCCCTGGCGCCCTTCCTCTTCCCTGCTCTCTGGCGGTGACGCTGGTCCCGATTTCCAACTGCTCCCCTCTGAGTCCCCTCTGGCTCTATCTTCCTGGGGTGTCCCCCTAGTCTCCCCCCTTGCCCTGGCCACTGGTGCTCCTTTCTGTGAATCGTCTGATTCACTGGAAAGACTCGGAGATCTCGGGTCATCGTCATCACTCATTTTCTCCTCTGCCTCCTCCCCCTCGCTCTCTGTTTCCTCCCTTGCCCTTGCCTCTGCTCCTGAACCCCTGACTGCTATGTAAAGGTTTTGATCTGTTCTTTTTTAATTGTTTGTATTTTTTCTGTCTTTTTTATTTTTCTTTTTTCTCTTTGTAATCTTTAAAATTCGAATAAATATTATTTTTTTTAAAAAAAGATCAACCCTCTCCATTCTGAAGGAAATCAGCCCCAAGTGCTCACTGGAAGGACAGATCCTGAAGCTGAGGCACCAAGGCTTTGGCCACCTCATAAGAAGAAAAGACTCCCTGGAAAAGACCCTGATGCTGGGAAAGATGGAGGGCACAAGGAGAAGGGGACGACAGAGGACGAGATGGGTGGAGAGTGTTCTCGAAGCTACAAACATGAGTTTGACCAAACTGCAGGAGGCAGTGGAAGACAGGAGTGCCTGACATGCTCTGGTCCAGGGGGTCACAAAGAGGCGGACACGACTAAATGACTAAACAACAAAATTCATGTCCTTGATCTGATTCTGCCTTCTGCGACATGGGATAATGACAATAAAGATTATTGTGTTGACCTCTGCTCCCTGTTTTGTGTCATCTGCAAATGTAATGAGTATCCCTCTCAGGTCCTTCAACCAAGTCATTTATAAAGACGTTGAACAACAACGGGCCCAGGACAGAACCCTGCAGCACCCCTCTTGTCACTTTTATCCAGGATGATGAGGAACCATGAAGGAGTCCTCTTTGGGTTCAGTTAGTCAAATCCCCCAAAAGTTACTTCGTTCAGCCCACATTTTACCAGCTTCCTGCCAAAATTTCATGGGGGACTTTGTCAAAAGCCTTCTTCCCTGATCAACAAAGTTTGTAACTCCATCCAAAAAAAAGGGGGAGGAGAGATTTCTCGGGCTTGACTTGTTTTTGAGAAAGCCATGCTTTCATCCAGTATGGTTATGTTGTAAAATCTTCAGATGAAGGGCAGATAAATTTTTAAAAATGATAATAAATAAGGATATTGACAAGCTGGAACATGTGCAAAGGAAGGCGATTTATGTATTTATTTAATTTGTATACCACCCAACTCTGTGGTGCCAACTTGAATAAAATATGGGTGGGGGGCCAGGTAAGGCCTGCCTTGCACAATCAATCACATGATGAATGCACACCATTGGAATGGCAACATGTACCAACTTGGGGTTTCTCCATCAAATACAGTTGGACTTCTGGTTGCGAACGGGATCTGTTCTGGAGCCCTATTTGCAACCTGAATGGAACACAACCCGTGTCTGTGCATGCAAAGGTCACAAGTCGCCACATCTGCACATGACATCATTTTGCACGTCTGCGCATGGCGAGCGGTGAAACCCGGAAGTAACCCTTTCCGGTACTTCTGGGTTGCCGCAGGATGCAACCTGAAAAGACGTAACCTGAAGCAAATGTAACAAAAGGTATCACTGTATATTATTGGGGGGGGGCAAAGACCCATCAGCCTCTAAGAGTTGACTTCTGTTCCCACATGTCGTAGGACGGTTACAACATAAAAAGACAACATAAAAACACAAAATGCACATCTGTAATCCCCCTCACTACCACATTTTAAGAGGGCATTAGATGTCAATCAGCAAAAGCCCTGGTTAACAAGGTGCGGATTTGCCTGGCTCCTAAAGCTGTATAATGGTTTTTCCAACCTTTGCATGAATTCTCTGATGGGAAATGAGATTGAAGCTCTTCCTGAAGCTCTTTCCACATTCCATGCAATGAAAGGGTTTCTCTCCTGTATGAATTCTCTGATGCCTAGTGAGATGGCCTCTCTGACTGAAGGTCTTTCCACATTCCATGCACTGATAGGGTTTCTCCCCTGTATGAATTCTTTGATGGGAAGTGAGATGGGAGCTCATACTGAAGCTCTTTCCACATTCCGCACACTGATAGGGTTTCTCTCCTGAATGAATTCTCTGATGCTTAGTGAGAGAGGAGCTCGTTCTGAAGCTCTTTCCACATTCCACACACTGATAGGGTTTCTCTCCTGAATGAATTCTCTGATGGGAAGTGAGAGAGGAGCTATCGCTGAAGCTCTTTCCACATTCCCTGCACTGATAGGGTTTCTCCCCTGTATGAATTCTCTGATGGGAAGTTAGATGGCTTCTCTGACTGAAGGTCTTTCCACATTCCATGCACTGATAGGGTTTCTCCCCTGTATGAATTCTTTGATGGGAAGTGAGATGGGAGCTCATACTGAAGCTCTTTCCACATTCCGCACACTGATAGGGTTTCTCTCCTGAATGAATTCTCTGATGGGAAGTGAGATGGCCTCTCTGACTGAAGGTCTTTCCACATTCCATGCACTGATAGGGTTTCTCCCCTGTATGAATTCTTTGATGGGAAGTGAGATGGGAGCTCATACTGAAGCTCTTTCCACATTCCGCACACTGATAGGGTTTCTCTCCTGAATGAATTCTCTGATGGGAAGTGAGATGGCCTCTCTGACTGAAGGTCTTTCCACATTCCATGCACTGATAGGGTTTCTCCCCTGTATGAATTATTTGATGGGAAGTGAGATAGTGGCTGTGACTGAAGCTCTTTCCACATTCCGCACACTGATAGGGTTTCTCCCCTCTATGAATTCTCTGATGGAAAGTGAGATGGGAACGCGAACTGAAGCTCTTTCCACATTCCACACACTGATAGGGTTTCTCCCCTGTATGAATTTTCTGATGGGAAGTGAGATGGCCTCTCTGACTGAAGGTCTTTCCACATTCCATGCACTGAAAGGGTTTCTCCCCTGTATGAATTCTTTGATGGGAAGTGAGATGGGCATTCTTCCTAAAGCTCTTTCCACATTCCACACACTGATAGGGTTTCTCCCCTCTATGAATTCTCTGGTGGCAAGTGAGATGGGATCTCACCCTGAAGCTCTTTCCACATTCCACACACTGATAGGGTTTCTCCCCTGTATGAATTCTTTGATGGGAAGTGAGATGGGTGTTCTTCCTGAAGCTCTTTCCACATTCAATGCACTGAAAGGGTTTCTCCCCTGTATGAATTCTTTGATGGGAAGTGAGACTGGAGCTCTTACTGTAGCTCTTTCCACATTCAAAGCACTGATAGGGTTTCTCTCCTGTATGAATTTTCTGATGCTTAGTGAGATGGCCTCTCTGGCTAAAGCTCTTTCCACATTCCACGCACTGATAGGGTTTCTTTCCAATAAGAATTCTTTGTTGGGAAGTGGAATGGGAGCTCTGACTGCAGCTCTCTCCATACTCCAAATTTTTGCGTGGCTTCTCCTCTCCGGGGGTTTTGTCATGGTCACCCTTGTTCTTGATTTCCAATTCATCAAAATCTGCAATGGGGACAATAAAGGGATTAGAGCCTCATGCACAAATCAAGAAGAACTGAAGGGTGTTGGGTCTTTGTTCATTGCCTTTGTTGGTTGTCATTAACCAACATTTTTAGTAATATATTCTGATGGATTGTTGAATGTTGATTTGTTTGATATACAGTAGTGGCCAAAACTGTGGAAGCCTTTTAGGAAAAAAGTGTATTTCAGATGTTTTATGGTTCGTAACACCACTTCGTTTGGAGTAATACCACAAATTATGTATCAATGTAAAGATAATTTAATCAAGAATGTACCTATCTGTATTCTATCAAAAGTCACAGCCAAATAACTAGAAAAAGGAAGCACAACTTGCTTAGGTTGACTTTTGTCAGTGTGTTATGTGATGTCTATCACGTTCGTTGCTTATTTGGTGTGTTTTTTCATTTAGTGAGTTTGTAAAACATAATAAAATTAAAGAAATGGCACAAAGAGTTGACCAGACACCCAGAAGCGATGAAAATAGTACTATTAAGTGGAAAAGGCTACAGTAATGAAGAAATTAGAAGAAAGATTGAGGATTCTTCTTCTTTTTCCAACTTTATCCAATTTTGTTTAAAAAAGCATATAGTGTTTTATTAGAGTGGGAAACCAAAGATGAAGAGGTTAAATCAGTCATGTTTAAATGTGCTCAGGATGTGAGACACAACATTCAATTTGAAAGTTGGGGAAAATTGATATAAAATTTACAGATTCTAGATTATTAAGAGAAAATTACATGAAAATGATGTATAGATGATATATCACACCAGTGAAAATGGCAAAGATGTTTAAGAAAGAAAATAAGAGATGCTGGAGATGTCAAGAAAAGGAAAGAACATTTTATCATATGTGGTGGGAATGCAAATGCATTAAAAAATATTGGGAAATGATATATAATGAACTGAAAAAATGTTTAAAATGAACTTTGGTAAACATCCTGAAGCCTTTCTGTTAGGTATCTCAAATCAAGAGCTGCCAAAAGAAAAATGGACATTATTTATGTATGCTACAACAGCGGCAAATATCTTGACTGCACAAAATTGGAAGATGGAAGAAATACCATCAAAAGAACAGTGGTAAGAAAAACTGATGAATTATGCAGAATTGGCTAAGCTAACAGATAAACTACAAGAGAAGGACAAAAAGGATTTTAAAAGAGTTTGGGAACCATTTACAGGTTATTTGCAGAAACAACGACTGGCAGGGTCTGAATAAACGTTCACAACTTTATTTTAGTAACAGAAATTTTAGCGAAATGATAAGGGAATTTACTTTTATATAAAGCAGGAGTTGAGGGAAGTCCTGAGGACGGGAGGGAGAACATTTGTATATAACATGATGATTGTAATGGTTCTAGGGGTTGCTCGTGCGCAAACCGGCGCCACACCTGGCTGGGTTGCCTGAGTGAACCTCTTCTGTCTGGACAGCCACTCACCCGTGGCTGTCTCAATCGCTGGCAGAAACCGTCAGTGGGCATTTCCTGAACTTCTTCCAGCAAAACAAAAAAAATTCCTTACTGGAAGGAATTTTTTTTGTTTTGACTATGGCAGACCAACACGGCTACCTATCTGTAACTTCTTCCAGCAAAGAAGCTCTTTGACGCCTAGTCTCCTCCTACTCTCCCTGCGCGGAAGCCTTCTGCGCAAGGAGGGTGTGGGCAGCGGAGGACCCTTACTCTCCCCGCTGGTCCCCGGCAAGGAGTCATGGGACCACCTCGCCAATTCCCCCATCTGCCCCCCTTCTCCACTGGTGCTGCACTGATTCCCTTCCCCAGAAGATGGGCTGCCTCTCCCCATCCCGGGATGCTCTCTGGAATCCCTCTAGAGCCCGCTCTCTCTCTCCGGCCCTGATGGCAGTTCCCTGACATCCACCTCCTCCCCAGGACCCTCTCCACCCTGGCGCGATTTTCCGACACAACCTCCTCTCTCTCCTTGGCCAACGATGCGGGGTGTGGAGTTTGGAACTGACAGGGTTAAAACTCCATGGTGTCCTGTATCTGGGAGGAGCGCAACGCAGAGAAGTGCGTCACAGTCTGTGTCACTGTTCAGACTTGCTTTCGCTTCTGCCTGAGACGCAACTCAGCTCCGAGGCTGCAGGCTGCCTGTGTGTGCTTTTGGAGCACGGAACATGTCGGAGGTTTCTGATGGATTTACTGCTTTGTAAATAAACGCTTCTAGAGATAAGAACCGAACTGTCTTTGGACTTGATTTATCCCTTATCTCACACGGACGCAGGACCGCTGCTACTCTGCTCGCCTGCCAGTTTACAGGTTCTGCGCTGCAATCGTTTTTCAGGCAGAAGGGTATCAGTCATCAATTGTCTGCCCCCTACTCTCCGCAACAGAACGGGGTTGCAGAGAGAAAATTTCGCACGCTACAGGAAGCAGCGAACGCTATGTTGGCAGACTCGGGTTTGCCACAGCGCTTTTGGGCTGAGAGTTATAAGACAGCATGTTTTCTGCAGAACAGGGTGTACAATTCCAGTGTAGGCAACACACCATTTTTCTTACTGCATCAGAAGAAACCGAAAGTGCACTACTTCCGCGTTTTTGGCTCTGAGGCTTGGGTCCTCATTCCAAAGGCCATGCGCAGAAAGGGTGAGCCAAGATCTAGGAAGATGATCTTTGTAGGCTATGAGCCAGGTTCAAAGGCGTGGCGTTTCACATACCCTACTGGCAACCAGTCTAAGCTGCTTATTAGCGGCAGTGCTGAGTTTTGCGAGCAGAGTGGGTGGAAGCGTCTTCACGGGAACCCAGATGTTCTGTTAGACTCAGATGAGGAAGAGGAGGAGGACGAGGAGGACGAGGCTGAACCTGTCGCTGAGGTGCACAGTCCACAGCCACAGAGTCCAGAGCCGGGATCTCCAAGGGAGAGGCTCCGTATCTCTCCAAAAGGGAGTCCCAGGACCCCTCCACAGGTCTCTGTCAAGTCTGAGCTAAGGAGCCAACCATCCTCGCCAGCAGAACCAGCTGTACGCCCGAAAAGGCGCAGCAGGTCAGAGGGGGAGGTTTCTGACACAGGAGATGGTAGGGTTGATCCAGGTGAATCAGGCGTAGTTCCAGAATTCACGCTGAGGGAGTCAGCAAGATCAACCAAAGGGAAGCCACCTGAAAGATATGAAGCCACAAGTGTCTGGGTTGGTGTGGCTAGATGTGAACCTGAATCCTTTGAGGATGTTCAGAAGTTGCCTCAGGAAGAAGCCAGCAAATGGCATGAGGCAATGCAGAAGGAGTCTCTTGGTGTGTTCTCACTCACTCAGCTGCCGGCTAACAAGCACGCTGTGAGCTGCAGATGGGTTTACCGCTTGAAATCCACAGAAGCGGGAGAACCACAGTATAAAGCGAGATTAGTGGCCCGAGGATTCACACAGAGAAAGGGTGTCCACTTCACAGAGGTATATTCGCCGACCTCGAGAGCGGAGACTTTGAGAACGCTTTTGGCAATAGCAGCACAGAGAGGTTGTATGGTGAACCATTTTGATGTAGATGTTGCCTACCTGAATTCAGATCTCCAGGAGGAGTTGTACATGCTTCCTCCTCCAGGGTTTGAAGTCAGTGAGCCAGGCGTCGTGTGGCGGTTGCACAAATCCATCTATGGATTACGCCAATCTGCCAGAAATTGGAATATGTGCCTACATGAAGCCTTAGAAGAGCTAGGTTTTAAGAGATCTCTTGCAGACAGTTGTCTTTACATTAGAGATTCAGGCTTGAAACAGGAGGTGGTGCAGGTGTTCGTTGATGACCTTTTGATCATGGCACAGACAGGTAAACAGGTGGAGAAGTTTGCTAGGGAGCTTGGAAAGCGGTTCAAGCTAAAGCAGCTTGGAGATGTCAAGTCCTATCTAGGCGTAGAGATCACAAGGGCAAGTGATGGAAGCTTTTTGCTTCGCCAGAAAGGTAAGATTGAATAGTTGCTTGAGAAGTTCAGGATGTCTGATTGTGCAGGTGCCAGATCACCCATGGAGGCTGGATACGTGAAGGAGTGTCAGCAAGTAGAACGTGTGGTGTTCGAAAATACTGAACTCTTTCAGTCAGCTCTGGGTAGTCTGTTGTATCTGTCACAGTGGAGCAGACCAGATATAGCATTTGCTGTCAATCTGCTCAGTAGAGAGGCTTCAAGTCCTAGTGTGCAGGCCTGGAATGGTATAAAGTGGGTGCTACGTTACCTGCAAGATACCAAAGACTTTTGCCTCAAGATGTCAGCTGAGGGTGGCGTCAAGCTGACCGCATGGGTGGATTCAGACTGGGCTAACCTTGTGGACCGCAAGTCAGTGTCAGGCCTAGTGGTGAAGTTTGGGGACTCAGTAGTTGGGTGGAGGTCCCGGAAACAAAGTCTCATAGCGCTTTCATCTACTGAAGCTGAGTTCAGTGCGCTATCAGATGTTTGCAGAGAGCTGGAGTTCTATGTGTGTTTGGTCGAGGAAATCTGTGGAGAGAATTGTCTGCCCGTTGTGGTGCATGAAGACAATCAACCGTGTCTCAAATTGGCTGAGACGGGGCAATTCAAGGCGAGGACCAAACATTTGGACATACGTTTCCGGAATGTATGTCAGAGCGTTCAAGAGGGGCTAATTGCTCTGAAATACTGTCCCTCAACCAAGAACCTCGCTGATGGTTTCACAAAACCATTAACCTTCCAGAAGCACGAGGAGTTCTGTGAGGGTCTGTGTATGGGGAAAGCATTGTTGACTGTTGTCAGGGGTTCAGGAGCAGAGGCAAGGGCAAGGGAGGAAACAGAGAGCGAGGGGGAGGAGGCAGAGGAAAAAATGAGTGATGACGACGACCCGAGATCTCCGAGTCTTTCCAGTGAATCAGACGATTCACAGAAAGGAGCACCAGTGGCCAGGG